TGTGTGTGTGTGTGTGTGTGTGTGTGTGTGTGTGTGTGTGTGTGTGTGTGTGTGCACAGTGCCCTGCAACGACTTATGTTGTGACCTGGTGCTATAAAAATAAACAGAATTGAATTGCCTAATTTTATAAATGTGAGCTAAAAGCAGCAGGGCAAATATAATATGACTGCAGCTTACAATACACAGTATTTGGTCTAATGGTTTGCTTTAGTCACTGGTATATATTGCTTTGTTGACTATATTAAGGTAATGTGTGATTTAAATTTGGCTTTACACTATTTTTTGAGAGACACAAAGGCACAGGGATTTACTAAAGGATCTGTTTGTGCGGTGCATGTACTATGTGTGCATTTGTGTGAATCTTTGTCCTTCTCRGTCTGGAAATTGAAGTCTAATTGAGAGTTTTTATGTGAAGGTGACTTCATTTACATAGTAATCTCCATGTGCTTGTCATGAATCTCTTTTATTCCTCTGCTCTTTCACTGCCTCCTTTTTTCTCTGCATATCATCACACATTAGGTCTGCAACACTTCTTCAGATCCATCAATCTTTCTTCCGCTTTCTCTGTCTCTCTGTCCTTCGTTTCTTCCTCACCTGATAGATTATTTTATAATAATGCCACTAATGAGTCAGCTTTTCAGAGTGGGTGAAAGTATGTGTAATTCCTTCCTGTGATTACATTATCCCACATGTTGGGTAATTATGTGTGGAGCCACTATGAATCGCTAACAAATATCCAAAGCAGGAACCCTCAAATACACTCAAAAAACAGATTGTTGACATGTCCAACAATTTCCACACAACTGAGTTGATTGAAAATTGTTGACCTAACTTGGTTAAGAAATCTAACAATCTGTTTTTGAGTGTTGAATGTGACAGATGTGAAATACATCAGGAGGACCATGCAACAACTCCAGGCTGTCTGTCAATTGTGCGTCATCACACAAACCTTCCCACAATGCTACAGAGAGCCTGTTGAGAATATTTATGTCTCCTATTTTCTTCCTAGGGACTTTCTTGGCTCAAGTGAATGACTGTAAGAGGTCATTTCCAATCATCTCCTCATTATGTCACAAATTTTTATTGTATTGAATGAATAAACAGGTGACATTAACTACTAACTTGTATTTTGCCACAGTCTGAGTTTTACATTTCACAAGTTCATTTAGATACTATTTTAAAACTTTAATACTGCCTTCAGTTTTACATTAGGTGGTTATATAAATTTACTTTTTATATTTGCAAGTGCAAATACCAACAGCAGCAGCTTTCTGTAGCAATTTTCATAATAAATCTACAATAATAACCATATAATATGAATTTGACA